TGCTGACCATGAGCTAGATTTAAATGTGAGTCTGCTGAGCATTTATCAAAGATTGGGCCATTGGGTAGATCATCAGTTCTACAGAATATTTTTAATGTGGAGCATAGGACTGTCCTGACTGTCACGGGGAGAAGAGCAGCAGGAAGCAGAAATGCAACAGTGGTCAGGTAGGACAGCTTCTGACTGTCACGGGGAGAAGAGCAGCAGGAAGCAGAAATGCAACAGTGGTCAGCTTGGGGAAGACCATACTGTTCATTCTTGTGAGCTATTGCTATTGCATAAATTGAGCTGGAACAACTTATCTTATGGGATGATGAAAAGAGATTTGATAAGAAAACTCATGTCATGTGTGGAAAATACCCAAATCCCTGGAAACTTAGGTGTGGAATAATGCATTCAAGACTAAGATCCATAAGAGAATAAGACAAGACCGCAGAAATCATAGAAACAGGACCACTGGGGAATAAACACCTTAAGATATAAAAGGGATTAACAAAAGGATTTTGAAAAAAAAGGTAAAAAAATTACTAAGAGATGGAGATCAATGGTTGCACATAAAGAGATGTTCTGAGGGCCTTTTTAGAAGATAAGTGAGAGCATGGAGACATGATTTCTGAAAGTTTTTCTTCTCCAAAGACATAAGAAAACAGGTCTCCCTATGACTCACCTTCAGAATCAAAATGCAGATGCCCTCAGGGGTTTAGAGAAGAATCGTGGTATTATAGAGGTTGTGACACCTCTCTAAAACTTAGCTAAACAAGAGTCTAATGGGTAGAAAAGCTATTAGAGATGTGTGAGCAAAAGTGAAAGGAACACCCAGCCATAGCTGCAAATACAATATGCACAAGATCCTCTGATCCCCATTTCATTCTATGAAAAGGTAAACTCCCTAAAATGATTAAATAATTTTGTTTATAATTATGGATTGAATTTGGCAAATTTCTTACATGTCCCATTTTTAAAGGTGTAATAAATAATTTTCATTACTCTTCAAGAGGATATTGCAAGTTAGAGAGACCGTTGTTCACAATTTCAGTGCTGGAACATAGACGTGGCTTTGTTTTGGTACATTTCTGTGTAATTTTTCCATTCTTAATTTTCTGTGTACTTCACCTTTTACATTGAGGGTTGTGGCTGAAGGTAGGTGCTCTTTTTGTTAATTTCATATTTTTCCTGTAAATGCTCCTGAACTCTGCTGAAGAACTACTGTTATTTTTTTTCCTTAACTATGAAAAGACCCAATATGAATAGTTTGTAAGAAAAAAATATCTGAAAAGATTACTTTCTGTTGAAATGAACCCACAAATCCCAGCAGGTTCTTAATCCTAGAATGTTGATTCAGGTGTAGATGATTTACTGATAAACACTAAAACTGCTCCTGTCACAAAAAGTGTGCCTTTAAATATTAAATAATTAAAAGTGCACCTTTTAATATTCTTGTGTTTTCTGCATTATGCTATCTGGAGATGTTAACACAGTCACATGATATGTTCTGTATCAGCTTAATATTTACATTTGTTTATGCATATGATTTATCTTTGTCTAATTTGCATATCTAACACATTTTCCTATATTAGCTTTCCCTCCTCCTCCCTCCCCCACCATTCACCACAAATATGAAAAACTTTAACAAATAAAGATCATATGAAGGGTATTGTTGTTCTGCACTCTAAATATGTCTGCAAATGTGTTTTTTGTCCAAGTTGCAGAGTACAGGGATGGGGAAGGTTTCAATTAATTCAGCATCTCTTAAATAGGCTGAAATATTGCCTGATTTCAGTGTGAATGGTCTGGTGGATGTAGTAGTAGAAAACCACTGGCTTACCAATGGTTTTCCACAGCAATATGATGAGGCTCTGAAGCTGTCAGGACACCAGATTAAAACTAGGGTGCTGGTGTTGGTGAGGCTCTGAGTCCTGGCTTGCCAATGGTTTTCCACAGCAATATGATGAGGCTCTGAAGCTGTCAGGACACCAGATTAAAACTAGGGTGCTGGTGTTGGTGAGGCTCTGAGTGCAGCGTGTCCCTCTGTGCCAACAGAGGGCATTATGCACCCACAGAGCAAAGCTGTCCTCGGGTGCTGCCAGCAATCCACCTGCTGCTTGTCTGGCTTTACTGTTATGGTGTTTTTCCTACTGTCTTAAACAGTGAGTAAAAAAAAGCATTTTTGGATTTAATTGGGGCAGATGTTAGTTTACAGAATTTTTGAAAGTAGCATAAATATCAGGGAAAAAAATTCTCTCTCAATATTTCTCTACTTCTGTTCCAGTTCAGCTTGGGGGACAGAAAACCCATGCATGTTTAAGAAAAACAGTGATATGATATCCTGAGTAATTTATTGTTCTTAGCTGACAGCTGTATATTGCACAAATCTTTTTCAAAAGTCTGCTGAGTGTTTCTCTACTTCTTCTGTTCCAGTTCAGCTTGGGGGACAGGAAACCCATGCATGTTTAAGAAAAACAGTGGTATCCTGAGTAATTTATTGTTCTTAGCTGACAGCTGTATTTTGCACAAATCTTTTTCAAAAGTCTGCTGAGTTCCCTGTTCTGCAAGATCTGCTGGTCTTCTGTGGCTGTCAGAAGTCCAGTGATCTCAGTGATTTTTGCAAGCAGCTAGAAGTCCCTTCCCACAGAGTTCCTTAAGAGATGGTTCCTTCTGAATGTGCTTAGACATTCAGCATTTTATAATCAACATATAATTGTATATAATTTAATGTATTACTGTACAGAATCTGTAAGACTTTTTTTTCTTTAAAGAGTAAATCAAATAGATCAATCAAGTTCCTTTGCTGGCCTTATTTCCATCATAAGATTTATTACTGAATTCACATATCTTGAAAGTTTTTTCCTTCTTAGAGTATATCTGAGAACTACCAGTATCACTGCAAAAAGACAGACTTGTTTAGGGATATTTCATAAGTCAGGAACCAATGCAGCCTGTCCTGGCTTGAAATCAAATGCAACTTTTTTCCTTCGTGTTAACAAGATTCAGTCTCACCTGTCTGAAGCTGTTATTGTAGTTCTGGTATTTTTTCATCTCATATTATATCCAAGTGTTTTGGTCTAAACTTTCCTCTGTGGTGATGGTCAGAAATGAAATAGTGAATTCTATGTTTTGGTCCTTATTTGGATTTCAGGTTTTTGCAGGCCTAACTTTCTTCTCTGCTTCTCTTCCTGTATGCACTAAAACCAGATTATACCTAATTTCATGTTCAAAAGGTTCATTTACTATCTTTTTTTTTGTAAAAATACATTCTTTTCTACAGGTTTGTTTTCTGGTGTAAAACTGCCACAAATCAAACTTCCTTAGAGCGCTCATCACTCCACTTTGTTTTGTTATTTGTTTTGCTTGCCTCCTAATTTTTTCTTTTGTCTTCTCATTTTGCTGTAATATAAATTTCTACCTGTACAGCATGAAAACTAAGACCAAAAAATGTAATTTCCTTCCTTGGTGAAACTGTTGGGTTGCCTGTGATGCAAAGATAAAAGCACTTCCTTCCCCACAGTTCTGTATGGCATTGTGAAGAAAATAGACTAAAGGAATAAATTTATGGTTTGCATTACTTTGAATTGTCATTCATATTTGGAATCAGGGAAAACAACCTGGAAATTTGAAAAAATTGAATCCAAGTAGTGAAACTATTTTTGCATATTTTCAAACTGTATTTGTCAATAGCAGAAGTTCAGTGATCAGCATATCCACATGCATATTGTTTCTAAACAAACCTGGTTGTGAAAGCAGCTAGACACTTGAATCATGCCAGAAGAGTAACTGTGCACTTCCTGTGCAATTTTTAATGTAGGATTTTGCAAATAGAAATATTCCATACATATTTGGTCTCCTCTAGTACAAATTAAAGAATCCTTGTGGCAGCTAGAAATCAGCAGGCAACAGCACAGCAAGATGCTATTTTGGTAGTCCTTATTCAGCTCCTGTTTATATATATGGAATCTAGAGTAAGTTGTGACTTGAATTATTGGCATAAAAACAATTTTTAAAATTTTTAAAATAATCCCTTATGTAAACACTTTCCTTAGGATTCAGGAAGAATTCAGTCATGGTATAAAGCAGAGACAAATTCAACCAGAAAACTCAGAACTTAGTGAAGCATTATTGAGAAGCACTTTCTTTATTCAATCTATTTGACTATTATTCTTCAAGTAGCACTTGCAATGGACAACCTTTTTCACCTCTAAGTATCACAAGGCACCTTTTTTTTTCTTTTGAAACAGGATTGACAGCTTCAAGTCGACCTCTTTAGTAATACTACATCCAGGTAGGATGATTGTTTGGACATAGGTAATATGATACATAGTATACACAAGCTACTTCAGGAGTTCTAAATTATTTCCAAGGGAAAAGATGGCCTGAAAAGCTATGCAGATTTCTTACTTTGCAACATTTATCTGTAAAATCACTAATCTTGAAATTATCTATTTGATTTGTTAATAAAATATTTACAAAAAGATACATACAGAAAGTTTAAAGAAACTGACTTCCTAAGGAAAATATTCTATCGGTTTGCTAAACACACAACAACACACCACACTCCTCATACAACTATTCTGAAGATATACAGATAAATTCCCTTACCTTTTTAGTTACAAAATCCTGCTGAAGCAGAATAAGATAGTAGATATTTTTTTTTTTAAATCTAGTTAGAAGGTGTGACCCCTTCCCATTTCTTGGCTAGTGTCACACGGACATTTGACTGCAGAATTCTTCTGGATACACAAACAAATTTGTCAGTTTAACATTGAAAGAAGTTGTTTTCCTTAATTTTGAATGCCAAAATCAGTAAATAAATTAAAAACCAGTTCAGATGATGAAGGACCCCAAAAAATAAAAAAGCTTCCTCATGCCCTCAAAAGAAGAAAGCCAAATTCAAGGATTTGAAATCTGATAGAAGTAAATTTAAAGTTTTACAGTCCCATCCATGGCAGCTTTAGTGCTAATGAATCCATGTAATAAAAAATAAATTAATGAAGTCCTGTACTTACCATAATTCTAGTTTTTCTGTCTCCTCAAGCCTGCTGAGGAGTAGGTACTGAACTAGAGGGGTGAAAGATGTTCATTGTCCTTCACTGTGAATATTTCTTTAGAGAGTGTACGTGGTCTATCCAGCCTTCACATGCAAAGATATCAGCAGTATTCTTATTTTGCACAGTATCAGAGACCTAGCAGAATTGTAAACAGTATTTGTTTGGGTTATGTTGCACTGCTGTGAAGGATGAATAGGTTTTATTCATTCATTTAATTGCTTCCAAGATTTTCATGTAAACCAGGTCTATGCTGAAGATAATATTATATAGTTATTCTTTTCAGTAAACTTTGACTGAATTAAAAAGGCAAATGTATTTTGGTTTTATTTTCCATACTCAAGGTTCCTGAATTTGCCTATATTTAGGCTTCACTGTAAATTCCATACATTTCCTTCTGACCCAGACTTTCATGGATGTTTATTATCTGAGGGAATTTTCTATCTCTAATAAGCTGAACTATATCTATATCAATTAGCCTTTAATTATTGAGCTCTTCATAGATGATACTATCAGAAAAATAGGATTGTCCTGGTCAGACAGAGTATTAAAGTTCTGTAGTGCTGCAGACTTCCTGTGCACAAAAATTAAAGGAAGAAGGCATATGGCCATAAACTTCAGTGAACTAGATCTAGAAAAAAACCCAAAAACTAAAACAAAAAACTCAATGAAAAGTGGTGAAAGAAGGAAGAAGAGGAGTGAAGTGCTGGCTAATGCAGAAAAGAGGGTAGTAGTATATATTGGTGATGCCTAACTTCTAAATAACAATCAGTTGAGTTTTCAGTGACCAATCTTCTCAGTATGAATCAATGGGGGATAAATAAATATAATCATAAAAAAACGGAAAGTACTATATCTGTGTCAGAAGCAAGGTTTAAACTGCATTCTGTGGGGAAATCAGGATTTTCCTAAAATCTCACTGCTACAGCACTGAAAATATTACTGTATTGATGTAAGTCTCAAATAATTTGCTTTCTATTAAACTTTCACTCAAATATATCAACACAATCTATTATATAGATAACAGCAAATACAACTACAGATACTTATAAGGGCAATTAGCAAACACTCTACCTATTTTCCTAAAACCAGGAAGTCACCAGGGCAGCTACATGCTTATTTCCTTGACCACAAGAAAAATTTTGAAAAAACCTATTTGAATGAGAAAACATCAGATATATGTAGCTACATCTAATATAGATTTCACTAACAAGGGATTATGTTTCTTAATAAATAAATTAATTAATACCTGTTTTGCAAAGCTGAGCTGGCATTTAAGGCAAAGGCAATACAATTTACTTATTTGTCTAGATTTCAGCAGAGTATTTCAGGTGATATCCTATGTTGAAATTTAAGTGACAGGAATTGGGAGAAGATGTGACCTATCAGAAGGACTGTAAGGTAGACTAGGAGATGGTTAAAGCCACATCTCTTTAGCAGAAAGGGAATTACTGAGTTTAATTGGGATTACTTGCAGTGTTCTGCAGGCATCAGTCATGGGTCTGATCCTGTCTGATCCATTACTTGGGTCTGGTTCAAGAGAAGGGCCTATACTGATGTTACCTGAAGATATTCTAAGCTAAGCAGTTATCATCCTGAGTGAGCCAATAGGTTATACAGGAAGGAGGAGAAGAATTTGTGTATCGGAGTGATAGAACTCAACCAAATTTTAATAGCAAAGTCATATACTTAAGGATGGAAAGAAAACTTTTTTGCTTTGTGCCAGGGACACAATGAGTCACTAACATGACATGCACATGTGGAAAGTACATGTAATTTGAGTGCAGATTAGGCAAATGATTTTTGGGAGAGGCAGGAAAAAAATTTGTGCAGAGGACTGGTGAGGGCTTGTTTAGAGTTTTGTGTGCAGCTCTGGTCAAATATGCTGAGTGACCAAGTGGAGACTTACAGAATGAGTAGGACTTCCTGAAAAGACAATGAAAGAGCTTGAGAAAGTGGAGATGAAGGTCTGTAAGTATCAAGTAAGAAGGAGCATTTCTACCAAAAAATATGGGATTGAAATCAAGTGTGTCTAAATAAGTTGCAACTACATTTAAAGTGGGAATTATATTATAATTTATATTCATTCACATTCAGAAATGATCTTCCAAAGAACATAGAGGAGGAAGGAGATCAGTAAGGGTTGCTTGTACTACATGAGCAATTTAGGAAAGACATTGAATAACAGGACAGGGATAATTCTGCTGGAAAAAAATTTGCTTATGAGAGACAGATTACTAACTGTACTGGAAAGATGCTTGGTCACCATGTCTGCTCACATTGTGTGTTAGATTATGGTAGGTTACTCTAAGCCTATTCTCTTACCACTTTTTTTTTTAAAGTAGGAATGTTTTCACAACCAGGTCTTTAGGATTTGCTCTGTCTATTAAAAGTTTTCTGGTATCTGATAGCTCTACTCTTGGTAGAGAGTTCTGCTCCCACTGTGAGACAGTAACATCAGCTCTTCACCAAGAGGTGCCTTATTACAGGTGCACAGTACAGTAAAAAGCCTGTCAGTTTTCAGGCTTTCTGAAATGTCCCAGGAAGACTGCAGGAATGCTGGGTGCAGGTGTGAGCATATTTTAGAGGAAACCTGTTGCCATTCCTGTGGTCTGAAGGGACTATTCATGGTGACAGGACCAGTGAAAGGTCTTTTTTCCATCTAATATTTGTAGCACAGTAGATTTTGTGGTTTTCTCTCCTGCTTTCTTTGGTGATGTTTTATCTTGGGTACTCAGAGTCTTTAGAGTCACTCATGGTGGGCAGGAAGAAGACAAAGAATGTTCCAGGGGACTCTTCCAGATCTGGACTGCCACTGTGCAAGGGACTAATCTCATTGATCTGATGTCATCTACTGTTTCTGTATTTCCAAACCACTCAGCCCTCATATATCTTTGTTATTAACTGTTTCCTTATATCTTGCTTCCAAGGGGATCTTCCAATGTCTAGTAGTATAGCTAAGTTAGCATGGTTACCTTTTCCTCAAAGGGGACGCTGATTTCTTTTGGTTTTCCCAAGTTAGCTGCCTTTTAAAATTATACCTGTTTGAGAGCTATCCTTCCTCCTCATTCCAGACAAATTTTCCAGTAATTGTATGCTGGGTTCAAAAGTCACTGAGGAAGATGGACAAGTAAGTTCAGTGACAACATAATTGCGCCAGCCTTGTTTCCTTGTTTTGAAATTTCTGCTATAATCTGGATAGTAATAGGACAATTCTTTTGTCCCTTTGTAATGTGCCTCTGATGTCTCATAAAATCTTTAACTCATTGACAAAGTCAAGACACAGTGATGAACTATTCTGCAAATATTGTGAGGAGCAAGCATAATAGCTCTAGTGAAGCTGCATGTTTTCGTAAACATCCTGGTGATCTGTGCCATGAATTAGATGTAAAACATAGGGCTGAAATAAATCTCCAAGGGCATTTTGCTGAAGACAATGACTCTTCAAAGTTCTTCTCTAACAATGTACTGCCAAGTAAATGATGCAATATACATTATTCTTATAACTATGCTGGATTTGAGTTCTTGAAAATCAGTTTGAAAACATGCTAGAAATAATGATGAAAAACATTAATAAAGAGACACTCCATTGACTAACAAAGATAGCATATCCATATTCTAATGACAGCAATAGACAAATAAAAGGTTGACCACAGCTACTATGTCAGCACATTTCTGTTAATATGTTTATAGTTTATTACTTTGTTTTGATTACATATCATTTAAGCTGCAGGTACTTTTAAATCATGGCATTCTGATGTAGCTAGCTGGCCAGCAGAAATTGTGATTTGTGAAACCGGTTTGGAATCCATGAATGTTTTCTGAAAAAAGATGAAAAATATGAAGATGAAGAAGTCATAGGAGATAGTAACTACACATATATATTTGGTCAAAATTTAAAGGAATTTTTACTCTTATAGCTCACTAATGTAATGACTTTATTGTGTCCTAAATATAAAATTAATGTAAAAGAATTGTCATGAAGAACAATCTGGACACAATAATGTGCCACGTGCTCTAGGATGACCCTGCTTGAGTAGAGAGATTGGACCAGATGACCCAGTGTGGTCCCTTCCAACCTGACCCATTCTGAGACTCTGTATTATTCTGTGAAGGATTAATCAAAACTCATAGGGTGATTTTTAGAAGACTTAAATATCAGACTTCTGCTTCAAGAGTGAGGACTCCACATGTCTGAAACCATATAATATCAGAAGCCAAATTAATAAAGCTAATATTTTTTTCTATGCCATAGCAGAGGAAACGTTGGTGAAATGTGCATATCATGAATAATCATTGTGGTGTTTGCTCCCATGACTGCAGAAATAAATGTTAATGACACAGTGCAGGAATAAAATTAAACTGCATATGATGTTTGTTTTTATTTTGATAACACCAATTTCGTTGAATCAAGCAAAGGCTAACTTCATACCCCGAATTTAACAAGACGGAAACAACACTGACCTAGGGAATGTCCAGGAGTAAGGAAACACATAGCAATATGTTCCCAGAATACAGAGTCACATAATCACAGAATCACAAGGTTGGAAGAGACCTTCAAGATCATTGAATCCAATCCATGCTTTACACCTCAGCTAAACTATGGCACCGAATTTTTATTAAACACATTCAGGGGTGGTGACTCCACCACCTCCCCAGGCAGACCATTCCAGTACTTTATCATTCTTTCCATAAAAAACTTTTTCTTAATATCCAGTCTATACTTCCCTTGGCACAGCTTAAGGCTCTGTCCTGTGGTTCTGTCAGTTGCTGCCTGGAGAAAGGGACCAACCCCACCTGACTACAGCCACCTTTCAGGGTGTTGTAGAGAGTGACAAGGTCACCCCTGAGTCTCCTTTTCTCCAGGCTAAACACCCCCAGCTCCCTCAGTGGTTTCTCACAGGGTTTGTGCTCCCAGCCCCTCACCAGCCTCGTTCCCTCCTCTGGACACACTCAAATGTCTCAACATCCTTCCCAAACTGAGGGTCCAGAACTGGACACAGCACTCAAGGTGTGACCTCACCAGTGCCCAGTACAGGGGCAGAATGACCTCCCTGCTCCTGCTGGCCACACTGTTCCTGATACTGGCCAGGATGCCCTTGGCCTTCTTGGCTCCCTGGGCACACTGCTGGCTCATGTTCAGTCAGCTGTCGACCAGTACACCAGGGCCCTTTCTGCCTGGGCACTGTCCAGCCACAATAGTTTCCAATCCTGCAAAAATTGATCCTTGAGAGACTTCTTGAGTAAGCCTTTAATAACCTTCTATTTTTTGTGTTGAGGTTTTAAAATGCATATTTACTTTTGGTATGCCCATTGTGTGAAGGATGGGTCTTCTGTCTGTTTAAAATCTACCTCTTGCTGGTTTGTTTAATTTATACTACTCATACCTATCCTTGTGATATTTCTCTTGATCTTCCAGGTCTGTATCATATTCTTCCCTCAATAAAAGTTACAAAGCTGCTGTAACACTAGCTTTGTTGGATTTAAGCATTCTGTTTATCAAGTAAGAGACTTCAGTCTCCTAAACTGTCTTAATATTTTCTTTCCTGGAAAGTCTCTTCCCTCTCCTTAAGATATAAGCTTTTTGATAGGTAGTCTGACTGGAGATGAAATCTGGTTTTTTTTGAGAACTGTATTTTTAGTCTATTCTTATCCAGAATTCTATTCTAATCCCAAGTTCTGTAATACAACATTACTTGTCAAAACATTCAAATACAAATCTAACCATTCATAAATTCAATACACACTGGTGGATCAAAGGTATTATCAAATCACAGATTTAAGTGAAATATGTAAGTGAACATACGCATCACTTAGTCAACTGCATTTTTGAAATGCCCCAAATATTGGCTGAGCATTTATTCTAAACTGCAGCAACAAATTTAAAGAGGCTGCTTACCTGGTTTTGAGGAGCATAACTATTTCCCTTCTTCACAGGGCCGTTTTTCAATGCTTTCTCCCTGGCATGGTCTGCCATCAGGTCCCGGTGCAGGATTATTACACTGGCGAGTTCGAGTGCTCTCTCCATTGATGCAGGTGGACCAGGCACTCCAACAGCTCCAGCCTCCATCAGTCACAACTGGTATGAAGACATCATACAGGATTAGGCCGCCTACCTCTTTCGAGGTAGACCATGAATCAATTATGGTGATTCTGCAGATCATTGCAGCCTCCTGAACACAACCCATCACAAAGATTTGTCATTTAAAAATGTCTTTGTCAGTGGCAGTGCTTGAGAACCCTGGGTTTTCAGCATTTTTGTCATGCCAGGAAACAAGCTCTAAGGCCCATTTTGGGCACCTGTGCATTAAAAACCTGGCCACAGAGAATGAATTTACTGCACAGTACATTTTTTACATTGTCAGTTGTGGAACTTCATTCCTTTCCCTTTTCCCCAACCTAATATTAAACTAGCACAGTAATTGTGAAACATGACCATGTGCTAGCACACACTGAGCTTTTGCAGAAAACTGAAGACAAAATAATTTAAGACATGGTGAGACTGCTTTTGCCTGAAATTGGTTTACCAGTACTGCACCAAGCTTTGGTAATACTGCTGTGTACTTAAATGAACTTTGTGTCATTCCAAGGCGCAGTAATGTATGTGGGAAAATGAACTTCAAATTAATGTACCCTCTTTAGGGAAAGAACCCAGTAACTTACCTTACCTTCCGCACCTTGCCCTTGAGATTTGACAGCAGTAAGTATAAAGGAGAAATGCTTCTGTTCTTATGAAGGCTCATTTTGTCAGCCTATTGTTACAACAGATATGCTCATTTTAGTTTATTTGGAGTATTTACTTACCTTTCACCAGTGTAGATTTGGGAATTTGACAAGCAATTCCCTTAAAATAACTTGAGCATAGGCATGTACAGACTCCATCTACCAGCACAAGGGTGCCTCCATTTTTACAGGGTTCACATTTGCACACACTGTATTCGGTAATGTAGTCTTCAATTGCCCTTTCCAAATTTTGTTTCTTTAAATATGCATCTCTTAGCTTAACTGGAACAAGTGTATGTATTGGAGAAGGCTGTGGAAGAAAAAAATCCCATGCATGACATACTCTTCCAAAGTTCTGAATCCTTCTGATATAACCATCACTAGAATAAATATCTGAAGAAACAGTTAAGATAAGGCAATGTGTGAAAGTTCATTATAAACTCAGAGTCTCACCTCCATCATAGAACAAAAGCTTTCAAACTATAAAAAGCCACAGCTTTGAAGAAATTGTACTTACCCGCTGCTGTATCACTACTGGAGCATCAACCAAAGATTTAGCCCACTCTATATAATCCTCTACATCAACAGTTCTGGCTCCTCGTAGTAACATTTCTTTGATTTTAACTGAAAAGTCAATCTTCCCTCCCTCAACTAAGGAAAGGACATCATCAATGACAGCATTATCATTCATTTCTGCTGCAGAAAAAAAAGAGGGTGAAGAAGGATGTTTAATACCCATGCATCTGGAAAAACAGCTCTCCTCCTAGTGCAGCCAGTCCCTCTTTGTAAAATTATTATAGAGAGGACTCTTGGTTGTATTCAATATCTCTTTGCTTATACCTCTTATGTGGGAGGAAATCTTTAATTTTGCAATTAAATTAGAAAACACTAGATCTGAAAGAAAAGAAAGGATAGGACAAACCGAGACACATTATGGAGATCACAGTCCTTTGATGACAAGCAAAAGATAATGAGTAATTCTACTGTATCCCCTGAGCTAAACCAAATAGGACAGGAATTCAAATAGTAGGAGCTTTTGCTTCATAATTAACACACAGGCAGAGCACTGAAATTAATACACAGGCAGAGCACTGAAATTATTGTCTCTTATGCACTTAGTAGTAAATATCCTTCCCTTTTGCAATTTTTATTCCATGTGAAATAAAGCCCATCTCCAGACACATAAAGGAGCTGAGGGCAACAGTGACAGTCAGGGGAACGCAAACAAGGCAATCAGAGAAAGGGAGCTCCTGCTTTGTCTCCTCCCAGGCTGGTTCCAGCAGAACCATTAGCCCTGTAGGATGGGGCTGAGGATGAACCAGCAGCAAGATGAGTCAATGGAAGGGTTCTCTGGATGCAAAGAATGGCATTTTGTGATTGCATGAACTTAAATCCTTAGCATATATTTACAGGGGTGCTGTTGAAAAGGTAAGTGGGGTTCAGGGTGGCTTTGGGAGGAGCAAACTTGAGAAAATAAAGGGATAAAGGCAAAAAAGTCATTTGCATGTAGACAAATGACTGATCTATGAGCTACTCTGCTGTGTATTGTCCTTCATCTTTGCAGTTTTTCCTGGCCTACCATTAAATTCCATTTTAACTCTTTCCTAGGGTGAAAGGACTCTATTCTGTGTGCATGCATGTGTATGGAGCCCTGTGTGCCAGCAGCTAGAGCTGAGCAAGGGCTGATGGGCACCTGGTGTTTGTAGTGGCAACCCCTGGAGCAAATGACAACACATGTGCCAGGGTGTGATGACTAGCAGATGTAGAGCCAGACTAGCAGGTGAATATAGGGTAAGTGGCTTGGGAGTACCAGAGCAGCTGTTGCTGTGGCCTGGAAGATCTGGTGGCTTTCCGTGATGTGACAGCAACAGTCAGCAAGGGACGACCAACAGATGTCATCTACCTGGCCTTCTGTACAGTCATCTACCTGGCCTTTGATACAGTTCCTCATGACTGCCTTATCTCCCAGTTGGAGGCATATGGGCCTGAAGGGTAGACTTATTGGTGAGCAAGGAACTGGCTGGATGGGCACAGACAGAGGGTTGTGACCAATGGCTCTAAGTCCAGGTGGATGCTGGTGATGGGTGGTGTCCCTCAAGGCCCTGTTTGGGACTGATTCTCAACAGTATCTTCATCAATGATAGAGTGGAGTTAGGTACATCCTCAGAAGGTTTCCAGATGACACAAAACTGAGCACAACAGAAGGATTAAGACAACGGAAGGATTGGTTTCCATCCTGAGACATCCTGACAAACTTGAGAGGTGAGCCCACAAAAGCCTCAGCTGAACTCTGATATTCAGCAAGTCCAAGTGCAAGGTGCACCTGGGTTAAGAAATAGCAGGCCTGAACACAGACTGGGAGAAGAACCTGTGGAGAGCAGCCCTGCCCAGAAGGACTTGAAGTGCTGGTGGGTGAAAGGCTGGCACTCCCAGCCCAGAGTGCCAAACATGTCCTGGGCTGCATCCAGAGCCCCTTGGGCAGCAGGGCAGGGGAAGAGTGCTGGTGGGTGAAAGGCTGGACAGGCCCTAGCCATGGCACTCCCAGCCCAGAGAGCCAAATGTGTCCTGGGCTGCATCCAGAGCCCCGTGGGCAGCAGGGCAGGGGAAGAGATTTTGCCCCTCTACTCTGCTTTCATGAGATCTCACCTCCAGCCAGCTTAGGGGTCTCTAACATGAGGAAGATGTGGACCCTGTGGAGAAAGTCCAGAAGAGGCTACAGAAATGGACAAAGTGTTGGAAGACCTTTCTTTCCTATGAGGGACAGGCTGAGAGAGATGGGATTGTTCATCCTGGAAAAGAGAAGACTCTGGGGAGACCTCATTCAGTCTTCCAGTACTTGAAGGGGACTTATAAAGAGAGAGGAGGACAATATTTTTTACTAGGTTAGATACTGACAGGACAAGGAGGAGTGATATTAAACTAGAAAAGAGGAGATTTAGATTAGATGATAAAAGGAATTTCTTTACTCAAAGCGCAGTGCAGCAATGGAACAGATTACTGTGCCTCACCCCTATGAGTGTTCAAGGCCAGGTTGGAAGGGGCTCTGGACTAGCCTGATCTAGTATGTTGAACCCCTTTCCAAAATGATGTGTTGGAACTAGATGATCTTTAAGGTCCCTTCCAAACCAAAGTATTCTGTGATTTTATGTCTATTTTTAGAGTGAGACAAGTGGAGGAGCTGGAGACTGGGTTTCTAGGCCAAACACTGGAGAGACCTCACAGTTCTGGGTTTGGCTGAGATCTGTTCTGATACGAGTGCATTTCTGTCTAAGGCAACAGGCGGTCAGAGGATCTAAGGGCCAGTTGCTGGAGCACCTAAGGCCAGTCCCTGGAGACATCCACAGTGTGTGTGTCTTGGTGTGCATCAGAGTCTGCACCAGCAGTGGGCCTGGCGTTACATACCTCTGCTGCTAACAGGAGAGCTAACAATACAGTTGCTGGTTCAACTGGATATTTAAGGTCAGCTGCTGGAGTTATCTGTACTGATTATATATAAGTATTGTGGTGGGACTGAAATACCTGAGGCTTGTGCTGCCTTGGACAAAGTGGCCTCCCAGCCCTCAACTTTCCTGTGATTCTGTGATATTGACCACTGAAAGACTTTCTCCCTGAGTAGATGGAGAGGGGAAAAAGATGAAATCATTTGTGCCATTTCTGTTTGTCTGAGCACTGTCTGTGTTTTGTCTGTATTTATTTGTGGCCAGTGATGTCTGCATGTATGTATCATGCTGGTGAGTTCATGTGTGTGCATGCTGGCAACACATTCTCAGGCTGTCTCGACTTGGGAGAATGGAAGAATATGAATCTCACCTATATTGCTCTACTGGATTTGTCTTTCCCCTAACAGCAATAACTATACTGATTATTCAGGGGAAGCAGCTCGTATTATCTCTTCTTAAGCAAAAGATATAATGTAAATCATGGATATACTTACATTTGTCCTTCCTGTGAATACTTTCACATTTACCACTATCAACATTAAAATTGGCTTGTATGTTTTCATATGCAATATTGGCATCTAAGTGATAGCCAAGGCATTTTTTCACATCTTCCACAGTGATTCCTGGAAGTAGAAAAAGGTAATTAGATGGATTGAATAAGCATAAATAACAAGATATTATTATTCTAACAGAATACATTTCAGGCCTATTGGAAATGTTTGTGCCTTTCTTCTTGCCATTTATCTTTTACTTTTTCCTTGTCTATGTAATGAATATGAGGATGACTGTAGCTGAAGTGCCTGAACAGATCCAGGTGAGACCTGTGGTGACTATGAAAGTACCAAAAATAGATTTCTGTTTTTCTTTATCTAGTTGAAAGCAGGTTCAAGAAAATGGTTCAATAAAATGGTTCCTTTAGGAACCATTTTTTTCCTTTTATTATATTGAAATTTTGTCTTTTGCAGTTACTCAATATTTACTCTTTTTATATACTAAATTACTGAATTCTCTCAGTCTCTCTTTATCTCAATTATGTTTCTCTACTCCTTTTCCCCATAAAATTAATCAAGGCCATTGGTCTCTTAAAAGTATGCTTTTTCCATTAATTCTGATCCACCTTTACCCACTACTGTTTCCAACATCTCCTTTCTCCTTATTGACCCCAAACCCAGTATCTTCTGCCTCTTCAGCATTCTGTTCAGAAAGAATGTTGCTTAAAATTGGGAGTTAAAAAATCCAGAACTACAATCTCGAGGTGATGAACAGAAAAATAGTGTTACATGAAAGTGACATATTTGTCCCATATCCCTTTTCATAGCCTGAATATTTGATAGTAATATTGATATTGGTGGTGCAAGAAGCAGGTGCTTATTTTCTGATCTCCAATATCAATGCAAGAATTGTCTTTTCTCACTTCATTCCAGTGTGATCACTTTAATCCAGCACAAACCCACATACATCTGAACTGCACATGAGAGAAGACTAAATTTCTACTTTCCAATTTTAATCAGGGCATGGAATATTCCAGTGTAACTTTTGAAAGCTATGAAATCAGTTTCAACACACTTTCATGCTCCATGTGGTCTCTAGAAAGGACTTAAATTTATTCCTTGTTTTTTGTCACCACCATACCCTTAGAGTGATTGCACCACAAAAAGGTACCAAATAGGATTTAGGGTTTAGGTGGGTTTTCTTGTCTTTGGACAAGATCTCTTGTGAATTATGCAATTATTACTATCGTGTTCACAAGGTTTGTTAAAGGTTTCTTTGGCCCCCTCAGTCACAGACTTAAAACAGAGATTTCGAATAGTTCTGTATATTATAAAGGTTGACTTAATCTCATGTAATTCTATAATGTCACTGGTGTGCCACAAGCAGCATGCACCGAACTGTACTTTCTCAGTATTTTTCCACACACACAGATCTACCATAAAATGTCTCTTTGAAAGTCTGGGAACTTGGTCATAGCAATGCCAACAGAAAGCATACCTAGTCGAGACATAACATAGTTATCCAGCACGTAAACAAGTTCATATTTTCCTCCTACAGCTCCAGAGAGTGCATAGTGAGTGCCATAATCTTCTAGGAATTTGAAATACTCCCCCTTGTCGTATTCGGCAGGCAGAAATTTTAAGTCATCAAGGAAACTATCTGTGAGACGAACATCACGACTCCGAATTTGGAACCTCCCCAGCTGAATCTGTCCTTTTACATGCAGAAAGGTTTGGTTCTGAATGCGGGGAGAAGAAAAGAGAAGTGAGTGCCATTCTAGTATGCAGCACAGCATGAAAATCTATTTTGTTTTACTTGTAATGAAGCTGCAGCACTTTTCAACATGGCAATCAATCTAGCATTATGGAAATGGGTCAAACTTGTTTTATAAAAATTAGAAAGCTCTCTGATCTAAACTGAGGAAGTAGCAAGAGGGTTATTTTACTTCTTCCAATTTTGTAGAACTCTTCCCTTATTTCAGGAAGTCCTTTGTGATCTATTTGACAACAGCTCTCTTGAAGCACAATGCCTACTGAAATGTGGCTTTCTGACTTTTGTAACATTGAAAACTAGTTCTACATGGCTTGCTAAATAGCAGACGCTGCCCACTCAGGTCAGATGGAATTTCCTCTTTGTTTATAGTCAGAGCAGACCCAAGTTCTCTCTCTTTTTGGATCACTTCCCTGTTATTCTCAGATTGTCAGAAGGAAGGGCACAGCTCCAATTAAAAACAAAACCTTCCCAACTGTTAGAAAGAAGGGCACAGTTCCAATTAAAAAACAAAACACCCCAACCCAACATCATAAAAGGAAAATTAATGAGGAAAACCCCTCCATATTGTGTATTTGAGCCATTGTAAGTCTAGATATAACAGCCGATTTTTTTGTAAATTACACTCCAGGTGATTTTATTTCATATTCTAAATTAGGACCTAGCTACTGCCCATACCTTGTGAAATAGTTGCACTTAAGACTCTAAGGGAACACATGCCTTCTAAACCCCATTATTATTTGCAGTATTTATGTGACTCCCTTAATAGTAGGGCCCAATAGGAGGTATGTAAAGGAAACCTTGCTCCTGACCATTACGTTATCCAGCACCATTTAAAGGATCTTAAACTGCTGACTCAGATGCTGCTTAAGATTGGCAGAAATCTTCAGATACCTAAATCAGGAAATTTTTTACCTAGATGAGGAAATTTTTGTAGGTGCAATATTCCTGCCAACCAGCATACACAGATTCTCTCCAGGTGCCTCCAGACGCCTCCAGGATTAGGACTTCAACTTTCATATGGACCCTAGAGGGGTCTCATGTAGGGGCTTTCACTCCACTGCCCTGCAGCCCTGTGACTTTGCAATGATACAACTCATGTGATAGAGCAGATTGTGACTCATTCTCTGAACTGATCTCTCAGCAAGAATTTGAGTCCAAAGTTCCTATCGCAAGCCACTAAACTATAAGCAAACATTAAAACCCCCTGAGCTATGGAGCTTGGTCTTTTATGTCTACGCAGATTCATGGTTTGAGGTTTAAATGGTTTGTTTCCATCCCAAGAAAACTCCTACCAGTACAAAGGCAATGCTAGATTCAGCTTATCTTTATTGTGCAGATCTTTGTCTCCAGCATTATTTCAATTAATCAGTGATAAAATTTAGCTTAGCTTTCCCTTACATCTGTTTGAACTCCAGAGCTCTGAATGGGTCCTAGACAACAAGACTGACAAACTTGAAAATATTAATTAGTTGAGGCAAATCCAGTATTCTTTCCACATGGTGCACTTCAGCTCTATGGAGTTGATATGCCTTGTATATGATGGCACACTGTAATCACAGACCTTGGCATAAATGTGGAAAATGTTATATGACCTGATCAGTTAATTCCATTAGCACACAGCTGCTGGATTAGGCCATAATGTTGTGTTCTGCTCATTCTGGCTGAGGGAAAAGTTAATTTTCTTCACAGTGGCTTATCATGGGACTATGTTTGGGTTTTGTGCTGAACACAGATTTGATAATACAGAAGTGTTTTTGTTATTGCTGGATATTGCTTACACACAGCCAAGACCATTTCTGCTTTTTGTACTGCTGTGCTGGCAAGGCAGCTGGGGCTGCTTGGGAGGCTGGGGTATACACAGGTGGGACAGGTGACTCAAATTGATCCAAAGGATTTTCCATACCTTATGACATTGGACTCTGTATATAAAGTGTGTTGAAGAAGGAGGAAAAGGGGATGTTTGGAGTGATGGCATTTGTTTTTCCAAGTCCAATTACTTGTGATAGAGCCCTGCTTTTCTGGAGATGCCTGAACACCTGCCTGCCCGTGGGAAGCAGTGACAGAATTTCTTGTTTTTCTTTGCTTTTGTGCATGGGTTTTGTTTGCCTGTTAAACTTTATCTCAATCCATGAGTTCTCTTGTTTTTACTCTTCCCATTATCTACCCAAGCCTGCTGGTGGGGGAGTGAAGAAGCAGCTGCCTGGGGCTTATCTGCTCCCTGGGATTCAACAACAGCATGTCTAACATCACTTTTTGTGATTTTGACCTCACTAAATGCTAAGACTACTTCTTTGCTATCAAGTAAAATGGGGTAGGGTCTTTCCACTCTTTCAAATGGAAGGTAGAGGTATGGTTTATGCACAGTCCCAAAATGGGCTTGCTTTTCTCCAGACTGTCTACAAGAACAATTCCCTTCAAACATGCTGTGGGGAAGTGCAGGATGGGTATTGCTTATGAGAACTAGCACTGGCTTAAGTCGTGCCAGCAAGTTAGGACAACTGTGGATTGTCTTGTACCAGTGCTACTGCCTGTTCCTTACAGCCCTGGCTAGTTTATTAGTACAGATGTATCCCCTTTTGGTCATTATTCCTAAAATTTATTTTGTGTTTATGTAGTGTAGGCCTACTCAGTGGCAATTTTTCATCATAAGACTTGATCTAATTTGTCCACATTGCACTAGATCAGAGCTGCTCTTTAATCAGGATGAGATCAGACATCTTGATCCTTTCTGACACCAAACCCCTGATGAAGTTGAGGGTGCTTGCTAATCAAAGACAAACAGTGGGAAAAAGAAGATACTTTGAGTTGCTATTTGTCTGTGTCTGAAACCTTAACCCTGTTGTCACCCTGTTTCATTTCATTTAAAGAAAAAAAAAAAACAACAAATTAAAAGCAAGCAGCAGCTGACTAGAATTCTCAGATTACTATTGCCTAATTCTAAGGCTGTATAAACTGTACCATTTGTAAAATAGCTACATTAGAACCTTTAGAATAATTAATCTCACCCTTTCTGTGTAGCTTTGCAGGACGGAACCAAATGTATAATTCTTTCTGTAGTCATATTTGAAATTTCCTTCTGAAGCATTTTTGTTACTCCCGTCAGTAGGTGTGTATTTCAGAGAGGCATCAACATTAAAATGTTTCTGTTTTTCTATGTAAACCTCTTGTAACATTTTCACACGATCATGGTAGTACACAGATGAGAAAGTTTTGTCTGCTTTTGTCTGAGAAAAGATAGAAAAAATGTCGTATGAGAAAACAACAGGCAGCAGTTGAGAAATATATGTAGCGCTTTAAAGCTGTACTTTTTACAGAGCATACCAATGTATTTTCTTACAGCTCTTTTTCCTTTTAAACCAAAACACTCCCTTCACAAACTACCTCATTGGGATCAGTTCAGTGGTTCTAAAGTGAACAGAAAGCTGCAGTGACAATAATTTAGTGAATATTAAATCTCAGCAGGTTACACTGTAATTTATGTGTGCCAACAGTCCCTTAACACCGTATACAACTTCCTTGTGAGGGAAGAGGAGAGGCAGACACTGATCTCTACTCCATGGTGACAGTGACCAGAGGGAATAGCCTGAAGTTGTGCCAGGGGACGTTTGGTTTGGATATTAAAAAAGTTTCTTCACTGAGAGGGTGTTTGGGCCCTGGAACAGCTCCCCAGAGAAGTGGTCACAGCACCAGCCTGACAGAGCTCAAAGAAGCATTTGGAAAATACTCTCAGGTGTGACCCTTGTGGTGTCCTGTGCAAAGCCAGGGGTTTGATCCTTGTAGGTTCCTTCCAGCTCAGGAGATTCTATGACTCTGTGTGAGAAATAATAGTCTCTCTTTCCTAAAACACAGTTAAAATTTGCTAAAAGCTCCTGACTTCTGAAATAAATTGGAATTATGATTCAGCCTTCTTTTCTTACAGGAAATAATAACTAATCCAGTTATTTTAGTATACCTTAGCAGAACATCACATTTTAGCAACTGAAAATTGTTATACATCAAAACCAAACATAACCAGAGATCTCTGGATCAGACTTCCTAATTTTGAATGGACCTGGTTTAAATTGTATTTGTTTTATCATGTTCCTACTTATGGTAAGTTAGAAGGCAAAATTGTGCTTTGATTTCTGAAAAGTGTGCAAAGTTTTTTTCTACAATCATCAACATTTTTGATGTTCAAACCTCACTGAAAGTCATGGTCTGAAACTTAAAAGCCTAACTTTTTTTTTTTTCCCAGTGGGACAGAGAAAATCATCACTGGTTAGAAAAAAACAAGTAGGAGCAGAATAATCTAATATTATGTCTGCTTTTTTATCAGTGGCTTTTACAAGTCCTTGAAAATGTATCTTGTCCTCTACCTAGAAAAAGTTGGGTATCGTAATCCTTTCTGTATATCTTCTGTTCATTTTTTCTGCTCATATTTTAAACATTCCAGAAAGATAGTTTCATTTGTTGTGCAAAAGTGCAGCACAAAGATGTGGGAGTTTGTCTGGCATAACTGAGCTTAACTGCAAAGTAAATGATAACATAACCACTTTTCCTCTGGACTTCAGCACAAGCTTGAGCCTAAGAAGCTGCTGTCTGGCCCAAGAGATATGCTGAGTCTTCCAAGAGTATTCCAGGAGCTGGCATTTAATTAAACACATCCTGTCTTGCAAAGGAGTTAAACTTACATCGTAAGTGAGAACAGCCACGTTCCACGGCTTGCGGTAGTACGTCCGTGTGTTCCCATCACGCACCCGCTCACAAAGACCATTGAAAAAGTCATTGTCAAATGGGCTGGCCATTGGCTGCATCCCTAAAACATTGATTCTACAAGAGAAATACAAGAGAATTTATACTTCAAAAGAGGGCATGTCAGCACAGGTGGCCTGTAGACTGGAGAAGCCGTATTCTGCCAGAGACTGAGACTATAGCTGTGGAACTGGATTTTGCTGCATCCAAGCAGCTTGTCTCATCTCTTGTGGTTTCTCATCTGTGTACTGGAGATAGTTACATATTTTGTGAAGTTCTTGAAGGAACATGTATGAGAAATAAACAAATAAAAGACATTAAACCTCAAGCACATTGAAAACCTTAGGCATGAAAGGAGGTAAAAAACATTTTTCCTTACCAATATATTTGTGAGAAAGAACATGTGATCTTGACAAGTACATCTGTGAGAAAGCTTTCCTTGTAGATTTAAAATGTACATCTCAGTAGCTATATATAAACAACTTAGTTTGTTTGCTGGTAGGCACTTGGTTTTCAAACATGTACAACATCCATCAAATCTTTAGAAGGAATATACAGCTACTCCTAACATTGTCTCTTCTTGCAGGGTGTGACCTAGTGGAATGGCAGCATTTCCTGGAGCATGAGAGGAAATCTAAACCATTACAAAACCAGGGAGGCAGGAGCATCAGCTGTATTCCTCTATGCATCTATATACTGATGTACAAGAAATACTTCCAAAAATAACTCCTTGGAAGATTCTGTATAATTTGTTTGCCCTTTTGTGCCTGTTTAATATATTTCAATCTTTTCAGTATTTCCAATATTTACATCTGGCAAATGTATGTGTACCTTTCTGAGTGTAGAAAGTGGTAAGAAAGCCATCAAAACACCACTGTCATTACTGCATCTCTATAGAGCATTTTCTCATGAAAGATTTTAGTTAGAAGCTTCTAAAATTGCCTTTATGCAATTTTATTTCCTTAAGTATAATAATAAAAAAATAAAAATAAAAGTATTTGGTTTACTTCCCAAAGCTAAAAACACAGCATTTTTGCTCTTGCACAGTAAGAAATTGAATTAAAACTATGTATAATTTTCATTAAACACACTCTGGTGCTGTATACTTTTATCTTCTGTTCAGTGTTGATTGCTGCCTTCTAACTCTATTTGTAGGTAAACAATGTTTTCTTTTTGTTAGAGATGAAAGAAATCCAGCAGGGTGTGAGAACAGAAAGATTAATTTTCAACTTAGATTAATGATGAATGTTCCTGTAAACAACAAAGATCCAGTAAGTGGACAATGCAATACTGGAAGAAAACTGTGCATAAAGTGTCACTGCAGTAAGGCATCCTATTACATAAATAGTCAAGAGATATTTTCTCCCTTTTAGACATATATTTTAGCAAAGTAATTGACAATTGCTGGTTGGTTGTGAAATATTAGAAACAAATTTATATACCTATAAAATTTTCATTTAAATAAAATGTATACTTATTCATGTGACATATATGTACGATTCTGTTTATTAACATTATGATTCATTTACACTGTATGCAGTGCATATTACACTGCATGTTTTATTGTCACAAGTATGCAAAATAAAATGGTAGTTAAGTGTTCTTGCAAAGGCTGCTTAGCATTTCTGAATACAAATGCTATGATGATTCATATTCCACTTTTGGGAATGTCACTGTGCCCCAGTTTTGTCAGCTGGCTTTGGAGACAATTCCAAACTCTTCACTAGGCCCAATACTACTTTTTACTACATACCCATGTCCTGCAGTCCTGCCAACTTCAGACACATCAATGTCATGGTTTCGACATGGTGACCGTGGCTCAGATTCACAGTCATCTTCGTCGGAATAGTCTCCACAGTCATTATCTACATTGCACACAAGTCTTCGCTTTATGCATCGACCTGATCAAGGAATAAAACATTGCCTGAATGCATTTTTATCAAGATGGACTTTAAATGGCACCCTCAGCTACTCTTTATTAAGATCATCCTCTGTGTATATTTCTACTGTTGTCTTGAGGGACTAAAATCCTGTGCTCTGCCACTTTCAAATGAAAAAACCTGCATACTACTGTTATATGTAAGATAGCAGGATGACTGAGAAAAGTAAGTTGCAGGAGAACTGCTGGCATCTGAGGAAAATTGTTGCATCCTAGACTGTTCTATAGTGAAGTTCAAATGTTTGGTTGGTTGGGGTTTTCTTATTTGTTTTAAGAGAACACAGGGAAATATCAATTCAAAATCAACAAAAATTCTTTCTAAATAATTTAAATTGTTGTTGTTTGGACTATATTATTTAAATAATACGGACATGTAGGATCCAAAACTACAGTGATTTGTGCTCTAAAGAAACAGGGAAGTAGTAACTTTCCTGAGTTTACATATCACAAGTTTTACAAAGATGATTTTTTTTTTCTTTCTACAGAATTTAAAGACTTTAGTAAATTAGCTGTAGTATAATAAATCAACACTTTGATATTGTCAACCACACCTGTAAATGCCACACAGTCTATGTGAACTAGTAGTTAAAGGTTTACTTTCTACTTTTAAATTGTTTTATTTGCACTTTTCAGTGTTTTAGTTAAAAGCAATACAAAAAATGGCTTGGAACTTGAAATTCATTTACCATCTTTCTGGTTTTGTTTTAACTGGTTTTAGTACTATAAACTTTTCCTACTTTATTTTGATTTCTGATGAATCTTGAGCACTACATTCATATGCCTTGTATCACTTTACAAATTGTATCTTATGTTGGATCTAGATGCATGCTGGTCTCCAAATAGCATCTATTGTGTCAGTTGGATTGGTAAACTTCCATATCCATTCTGTTAAGATTCCCTAGTTCTAGTTTTTTTTTCCTGGTGATTTTTCATAAAACCTAGTGATCTAGCAGCAAGTGGGGCAATTAAGCCAGAAGAAAGGATATGGTCGGTATGGTCAGCTTCTAACCATGGAGTAGAAGTTACAGAAGAATTTAGGCATGAATTAAAATGGAAGATGAGAGGAATGTACTCCTTCTTAAGTGGTTTTGCTGCTGTGGTTTTGGCATTGCGGTTTTGAGCCCACCTGTCCATGGAGTGTTTCTAAGTGCTAGCAAGAGGCTGATGTAACTTATTCACAGAACTAAAATGTGGATTCTGAGTTACTGCTTTACTTGCCATGGCATGAAAACAAAACCCACCTGAACTGCACTGATAGTCAGCACCACAGTTTGGTTCTGGTTCTTCAGGACAGGCTTTGCTGGGTTTACAGATTTGTGTGTCTCCTAGGGCCTCCAGACATGCTTTTCCACCAAACTGCCCAAATCTTTCAATACGTCTGGAACGAAACTTGAAAGAAAAATAACACTATTAATATTGCTCAGAGAGAAAAGAGAACTCTACCAGAACTTCAGGGTTTCCAGCTGAACTTAGAGCTTTTCAAAACTAAACACCTTTGGTGAAATTTTTGTTTAAAATCCTAAGGCAGAATTAATGAATAAAATAAAATTGAAATAGTAATTATGATTAATAATACTTAGCCAGTATGTAAAGATGATAATTTTTCACTATTTAGTTTACGTCACTATTTTGTTTATTTCTCTCCAATGTGGAAATGAATAATTTATATCTTGTATGTTTTCAAATCTTTGCTTTTTTAAAGCCTTAAATGGACTCCCCTAAGAAAATAAAAATTTGCTTTGGAACAGATTGCATTTTGCTTTTTCAGGGTTTTTTTAGGTTGGTTGTTTCTTTTTTTTTAATTTAAAAAGGAAAAAAAGTGTTGAAAAATAAACTTTTAAACAGAAACACACACACACAAAATAGATCCTTTCTATGAAGAAAACTTTTTGAATGAGCATACTTGAATGGTATTTCATAACTGGATGTATTATTCTCTTACTCTATGGCTTCAAATCTGACATTACTATGGGTTTCATCAAACCATGAACATACAGTATTAAGAGTTGCAATCTGACACTTTCTCATAACCAAGAGGCAGGCAGATATTCCCTTGGCTGTGACTTTGGAACAAAGGCTTCCAAGGACAGCTTACCCTTTGATTGGTGCATGGGTCACAGGGCCCCCACGCGCTCCAGCTGCTCAGTTTGCAATCTATTGGAGATGGAGCATTCAATTCCCTAGTTCCTCTGTGGAAAGCTTTTTCTGAAGAGCTGTAAAACAAAATTTTCTAGTACAGTCCTGGGCAGTATACTAAAATGTCATGTGAGTTTCTGTTCAAATCATAGACCAATATTTTGGAAGCATCTTCAAGTGGATTTCTGTTTTACCTTTGTAGCAGTACTTAAATGTATCAACAGTTGCCTAATATTAAATTCTTTGGTGGTTTAAAATTACATTAAAAACAACTTTGAAGACTTAATAAGCCAGGTCTTTCCCTCTTTTTTAGATCTTTGTGCATACAAATGCTCTTCTGGTGGGTCATGTTATTGAGGAGAGTGAAGCAATAATACACAGGAAACATCTGCACTTTTCTATTCAGACAGTGGTTGTGCTCCCCAATATGTAAAGCTAAAGACTAACACACAGTAGCACATCTCAAGTGAGAGAATGAAGCAATAATACACAGGAAACTTTAGCTCCCCAATATGTAAAGCTAAAGACTAACACACAGTAGCACATCTCAAGTGGACGTACCACTTCAATACATCTTTGTGATTTTAGCTAATTGACTTTGATGTTGTTGCTCTTAACCCTGATAAAAACATAAATGCCTTCCAGAGTTGAAAGAAGACTCATAATTAAAGGTATTACTTGGTAATAACTTACATTGCTAGAATAAACAGACATGTTTAGCTTCCTTACTATTGTTCAGCTTGCCAACTTGAATACTTTTGCAGTTAGGTCTATTTTTTTTAAGAGTGACTTGTCATTTTGGTGCTCAGTTTTAAATATCATCAAACTTATAGTTCTCAGTACATGTAAGGCCATTACTTAATAGAAATAAAGTTTCTTTAAAGCACCCACTAGTAGATATTAAAAACTGAGGTATTATAGAATTACTTATAAAGTTTAAAAACCAAGGCTATTAGTTTACTGGTGACCTCCAGTGGTAAAGAGCAGAGGAGTAAAGGAGCATTGAAGTCCCACTTGCCTTTTTTACTCTCATAACTTATTCCAATTTGCCTTACATGACGACTATTCATTCTCTGTGAAGTAATTCTCTCTGCATCTCTCCAAATTAAGGCTCTTGCCTCTGCTCTACAATGGGACCTTCCTTGCTGAGCCCAGCAGGCTGGCAGATCTGCAGCTCCTGCAGTGTGAGGTACCTATGGGTGTTCACTGCAGGCAGGGCTTTGCCCTCTGCCCTTTGACCTCCTCAAATAGTACAAATATTGCAGGAGTCCAAACAAATGTAACCTGATTCCATAAGATTAAGAGATCTGTAGTTTGGCCAACAAAGACATAGCAGTTGGTCCAACTTTCTGGTGCCATTTATTCTATGTTAAGTTTACATCTGTACTAAATTGTTATTGAGAAAATAAATTTACCTCTTTACCTCTTCTCAGCTATCAAGCCTTAACCAGCTCAGGGATCACATACTTGCCCAAAATTTTGCTATGACAGCTATTAAACATAGAAATGGTTTACCCAGGCAAATGGTAGAATGTCCTTCCTTGGGAATATGCAACACTATTGTCAGGACTCCTGGATAAGCTAATCTAAAGCCCTGTTTTGAAGAGATCTCCAGAAGTTCCTTTCAACCTAGACTTTTCAATGTATTCAGCAGTTCTGTGAAATTCTGGAAAGTTGTAATGTATTTGAAATTTGATTTACCTCCCTAGGCTCTTCAAAACCAACTCTTCCATCTGTAAGCACCTCATCTTACAGGCACCCCATACTAAGCAAGTAATTCCGAAAAGGTTCCTATACAATTTTCTATGTATTTCCCACCACTCAGCATGACAGTAACATCAACAGTGGGAAAAAATTAAAATCTACTGCTCTGGTAAGTGGATGAGAATCAGCTTGTTCCTTACTGTATCTCCAGGATGCCTTTCCATCTTCTTACTGATGGAGGAATGCAAACCTCTGAATAACAACACCTATACTGGCATCTTGGGTTGAAGACTGACGGGATGTCCTTAAACACAGTAGGAGTGAGAAACCTTAGATGTTATACCTATAAGATATATTGAGGCATCTGATGGGATGTCTGGAAGCAGATAGTTATCTTATTCCTAGCAATTACCAAGTATTCTGATGTTAGACAAATTTACATTGAAACATATTTCTCAACTGTTACATTATTGCTGTAAAAATAGAGCCAAAACCCCTTACAGGCAACAAAGATTAATCATGGAAAGCAGCCATGTGCCTAAAAGAGTATCAAACTCAAACTACTTCATATCCTAAAGATTTTCCCAGAGGTTGTTATAAGGCATTATTTAGAGTCTAAAGTAAAAATCACAGGCAGAAAACACTGAGTTGAAGTATCCAATGCAAATGGAAGCCTTGCCCTCAACTGTCTGCAAACTAGAACTGGTGGTAGTCTCTGACTTTCAGGTAGCAATATTTTTCACGTATTTAAAGATCTTTTCCAACCTAAGTGATTATATCATTTTATAATAATCATAAATTAGCAACTTTACCAAGAATATCCATTGAATGATGTACATACAGCCATGGACCTTCTCCAGCCCATACTTCAGAGTGTATGAGGTTCATATCATTTGCTGCAGATTTAGCTTTAGGGTTTTGAATTTACTTGAAGTTAGATAAAGAAAACAAAACAAAACAACTAACAAAAAAATTCAGCAAAACTCATTGGAAATTACTCATATACTCTCAAACACCACTAATGCATCCACTATTAAGATTATCTGGGAAATCAAAGGGACATATATTCAAAAACATTGTTTAAAAGAATCAAGGTACTGCAAAAATTTGCAAACTTGTCATCTCCACATTAAATTTGAAGAAAAAGTGTTACTGGAAAATCACATTGAAACAGATGCTAAGTCACACAATTTAAATAAATCACTGAAGATGACAGTTGAGAGCACAAACTTCAGAGGTGGGCATGGAAATCATTCTCTGGTGTTCTTTATTGAGAAGTTTGAGGGACAGTAGAGTACTCTTTGGAAAGCAAAAGCCATTTCACAATCAGTACACAGAACAGTTTGCACCTTGTCTTGGATTGCACAGTACACTCTAAACACCTGCAGGCCACACTGCTCTGGTGATTCGTTGTTGAGTCATGCTTCAGAATAGAGAGCTGTTGACTTCATCAGTTACAAAAGGGATGACTCAAAAAAGAGTCTTGATTTGACAATTATCACTCACCAAGAAATAAGGCACATCTCTCTTGAAGTTGAAGACATGATAGCATCGCATGAGAGCATAGCTTTGGCAACAGCAGTTGCTAGCACTGTCTTCAAGCTGTACAGCCTTGGGTACGCTGGGGAGCCAAGCTGATGGCCAATGTTGCCTGCTATGGATTCCCTCTAACAATCAAATCTGTCTGGATTATTTCTAACTGAGCATGCTAAACCTGTGCTTTAATTGGATCTGAATGTTAAAATAAAAATAATGATTAAAACATAAGAAGCAAGCGCTTGCCCAATCTAGTGGCTTTCTACGGTGGAATGCCTCCATCAGTGGACAAGAGAAAGGCTGCAGGTGTAATTTATATGGACTTCTGTACAGCCTTTGACATGGTCCCTCACAACATTCTTCTCTCTGAAATGGAGAGAGATGGATCCATTTCCATACTGATAGATGGATAAGAATGTGGTTTTATGGTCACATCCTGAGTGGTCAATGGCTTGGAGTCACAGGGACATCAGTGACAAGTGGAGTCCCTCAGGAGTCCATATGGTGACGAATGTTGATATGTTCATTAGTGACATAGACAAAGGAATGGAGTGCACTCTCAGCCAGTTAGCAAATGGCACCAAGCTGAGTGGTGCTGTTGGCAGTTGGGAAGGATGGGATAACATCCAGAGGGACCTGGAGAAGCTCAAGAAATGGTTCTCGGGAATCTGATGAGGTTTAACAAGGCCAAGTGCTGGGCTGCACCTGGGTAGGAACAACCCCTGGTACCAGCCCAGGCTGGGCATGAGCAGCCCCAGAGCAGCCCTGCCCAGAAGGGCTTGGGGGAGCTGTGGCTGAGAGGCTGCACATGCCCTGGCCATGGCACTGCCAGCCCAGAGAGCCAAACGTGTCCTGGGCTGCATCCAGAGCCCCGTGGGCAGCAGGGCAGGGAGGGGATTCTGCCCCTCTGCTCTGCTCTGCTGAGACCCACCTGGAGCACTGCACCCAGACCTGAAGTCCTCTGAACAGGAAAGACAGGGACCTGTCAGAGAATCCAGGGGAAGCCACTGAGATGATCAGAGGCACGGAGCACCTCTCCTGTGGGGAAAGGGTGAGAGAATTGGGATTGTTCAACCTGGAAAGAGGCAGCATAGGAGTGACCTCACTGCAGCCATCCCATATCTGAAGGGAGCCTACAAGAAAGATGCAGAGGGGCTTTTTACAAGAGCATGGAGTGACTGGATAAGGGGGAACAGATTAAAAAAGAGTAGGTTTAGATTAGGTCTTAGGAGGAAGCGTTCTGTTGTAAGGGTAGTGAGGCATTGGCACAGCTTGCCCAGAGGAGTTGTGGATACCCCATCCGTGGAAGCATTTAAAGCCAGACTGGATGGAGCTCTGAGCAACCCTGTCTCATGAAAGGTGTCCCTGTGCTCAGCTGGCACTCACAGCACAGAGAGCCAAATGTGTCCTGGGCTGCATCCAGAGCAGAGGCAACTTTCAAGATCATCTTCTTCCCACCTTCTTGCTCTGTGCAGGGACACTTCCCACTAGACCAGATTGCTCAAAGTCTGACCCAACCTGGTTTTGAACACTCCCAGGCTCCCATAGCCTCCCTGGGCAGCCTGTTCCAGTATCTCACCATGCCTACAGTGAAGAACTCCTTCCTTATCTAACTATAACTGCCCCCCATTTAGAGTGCACCTCATCCTATCACTATAGTTCCTCTCCAGTTCCTATCACTCCAGGTACACTGTGGGCACCTTCAGATACTGGAAGGTCTGGGGACTATAAGGTCTCCACACAACCTTCTCTTCTCCCGGCTGAACAGCCCCAACTTCCTCAGTTATTGTAGGGGAGGTGCTTCAGTCTTCTAATTAACATTGTGGCTTCCTCTGGACTTGCTTCAACATATGTCTATTATAAGGCTCCCATTTTTTCATTACTCAGTTTTGACCATTTTTGTGAATGACAAATTTCTGGTAGAGCAGCTCTTTTTTTCCCCACATGGCTATTTGGTAGGGACTAGGCCTTCACTCTCTGTGGCAGCAGCTCTCTGGCCACAGAGAGCAACAGAGGACTTCCCCCGCATTTTCCTGGGCAAGGCTGTGAGAATATCAGAGAAAAGAAAGAGAAACAATTCTTATCGCCACTTGTTGCACCTGTTTGTTTACCAAAGGGTGATTTCTTAATTGGACACTGGGTGGTGTTTTGATGGATTGACCAACTAGGTCCAAGCTGTATTGGACTGTCTGTAAGGGTTACGAGCTTCTCAATAAGTGTAATGTAATATAGTAGAATAAAGCAATTGATAAGCCTTCTGCAATCATGGAGTCAATGTTAATTGTTACCCAGCTAGGGGCCTGTGGTGACAGTTCTATCCTCCTAGAGATACTTGCAGTAAAAACACAAAGGCTGTATTTCCAAAGATTAGAAACAGGCAGTCTAGGAGATTTTAAATATTAAGAAAAACACCGTCAGCATAAAATTGTTCAGCTTCAGGAAGAAACAGATTGAGACTAGGTATGTTCACACAGCATACAACAGAAAAAAGGTACCTGAGCTTTACCGGCCTGCAAAAATATGCCTTCAACTGCTTCAACAGGCACCTTTATTGTGTCACATATATCCAAAATAAACAAATAAATCATTGCTATCTGACTCCTCAAAATACAGCAAGAAGTAGGGTTTTTTCATAGGATATCTGAGCAAGGTAGCACTAGAAATATCCACACTGGATGTTTATGCTCTGTGTCAGAGAAATGAAACAGTGGAGACAGCGGCAGGAGAAAAAGAACACTTACCTTCTGCTTTCCTGCCAAATTGTGGCAACTGTCTCTGCATTGCATAGTATGGCTATAAGCTGCAGAATAATATGCATGGCTCTCATTTTGCAGGTGAGCAGACTAGAATTATTGTGACTGAATTTGTAATTTATTTATTTGTTCCTTTAGTTATTTATTACCAAGAGAACAAACACAAAGCAGTGTGTACTGAAGAATGCCAGTAAGTGCGCAAAACTGCCTTACTGTAAGTGCTCTAAAGTCCACTTTTCAGAAAATTCCACTTTTTCCCTGAATGGGGAAAAACCACTTGCACTTGCAAAGTTAAAAAGAAACTAATTTTATTTAACAGTACCTTTTGAATATACTAAAGACATTACGTATTGAATTAAGAGAACCATTAACTGCCTAGTGAAAAAGTTGTAACTGTGACTCATGTAAAGAACAAATAGTTCCTAAAGCAGAGTTGTTTACAAGAGCAAGTTCAGTGCATAACAGCTTTGGAATCCTCATTTGGAGTACTGGATAACTGAAGTCCCAAGATTCTTCTTTTATTCCTCCCCCAGCCAATATAAAAGAACAACACATAAATTTTTTTTAGATTTGAATGAGACTAAAACTCTTTTAGCTTTCACTCTGTCACAAAAATCCAAACCACAAGCCAGCTCTTAGAAAAGCATTCCTTTTCAGTGGTTTGCTGTAATCCAGATTTAAGGCATCATGTGTTGGACACAGTCATAAGTCACTCATAAATACCCTTTTGTTTAGTTGTCAAGAATTACATATTTGGATACAATTTTAAAATAATCATCTGAGGTAAAGATTTTCCAAATTACCATGAGTAATTGAAAATAAACAATAGAAGCAGTTTTATTTTTCTCTGTTCCCTGCTTTTTGTGGCAGGGTGGCTTTTTGTGGAAGTGTGTAAAGTAAGGCAGGCAAATTTCCCACCTGCTCAAGCCTTGATTTGGATTATTTCATTTAAGAAAATCTTCATCTGCTGCAGCCTCAGTCCAGCTTGATGAGTCCAGTTACAATAAAATCATTTTTTAGGCAAGAATACAAGACACAGACACTTGTATGTAATATTGTATTGTTTCATCAAAACTGCTATCACAGTTCATGGTTCTTTAAGGCAGAGACTCAGATTAAACAGCTATTCAAAGTTAGCTAGCAGACCAGCAAGCATCTTTGGCCAACTTGTAGGAGGTCCTGGTCTAAATGAGCATCCTGGTGGCCATTTCAAAATCTGAACAGCAGTGATTTAAATCCATATCTAAAATGCTGGTAAACATATGCCTTCATATTGGCATTACGGCAGTAAATTGTCCTTTTAGTTTTAATATTAAATTATATGTTGCCATGCAGTCAGAAGGTAAGAACAAATAAACAAAGCCACAAACCCCCAATCAACCAAGCAAAACTCCCAAAAACCAAACAAAAAAAACACCCAAAAAAGCCCCACTGCGATTCTGTAAATCCCCTTAAGACCTATATTTCCATCTGGATAACAAATCTCTTGAAATGAGTTGTTTTTATCCCCTTAACCATCAAATATTAGCCATAAGAAAAATAGTCTAAAGCAGCAGCTTACTGATTATTTTTTAATCTATTTCTGTTAAAGGAGTTATACAATTTCCTCTGAACAGATGATGTTCTAACTGAGATTTCCCAGCATCAGTTTAGATCTCCTGCAAAGCAGGAATATACAAGCTGAACTACTGAAACTGTTGAGTGCAATGCAATTTGAGTACTCAGCTCCCACAGTCCTGCAGAAAGAATCAAGAAAGCATCTTTAGCAGCAACAAGCTCAGGCTGAGCAGCCACAGGGAAAAAGTTCTAGTGACAGCTTTTACTAAATCAGTTTGAGATTTTTATTTTTTAATATGGCATAGCATTTATTGAACAGCTTCTATGCAAGAAGTTACAGAAAGGCACTTTGCCATCAGACAACTACAAAACCTGTGAGGAATGATTCTCAGCAGGCTTGGGACTTCTAATGTCAACTAGACACAAGACTGAGTTACAGAGGACAGAATTAACAGCCACACTGATGTTCATTTGGTATGAAGAGTTGCTTCTTTTTAATGCCATTAAGTAAAAGGTACTACAGTTTTATATAACAGTGTAACATCAATAAGTTTCTACATTTCCAGTTTGAGACAAATACTTAAATTTGTGATTTTTTAAATTTTTTAAAAAAATTTGCATTACAGAAAGTGCAAGAGAAGTTTGTATACAAGACTAATTGCATGACTGGCTGAATTTGGTACTAAGGCGGTATTCAAGTTGACTTTCTTAGCTCTCCAGTTTAGCAACGGCTTCGGCATTTGATTTAACAATAACATTTCAAGTTCGTACTTAACATTAACAGAAAAACTTCTGACACATCAGTCATCACCACTGGCCAAGAATGTAGCTGTCACAGGCAGTCGTAACTGGTTCCAAAACCTGCTAGTAAAGAGGCTCTTGAGAAATGGCAAGTTCTCCAAGAGATGAGTACTACCTCACATTAATGGCACAGAGGTGGTGTATCTGTTAACAAGGAGGCCATGCATGGAGTGAAGCCATTTAGGTGTTTTTGTTTTCCAGCATGCTGGAAACATACCCCAGTACACCAAGTGACAAATCAAACTGAGCACATCAGAGATTCACAGAGATATACACAAGAACCCCTTCCTGATTGTTTCATTTGTTTGCCAAGCCACCTTAATAGGAAAGTAATCCTAGTATTTTTCCCTCCCTGAAAACTGCCATATTAGCACCAAGACAACAGTTAGTGTCCACAGCTACCTAAATGTTCTGCAAGAAGTTTTTCAGCTTACAGTGTAGGCCTCTAGTACTCAGGGCTTCAGCAGCGCTGTTACAGACTCCGCAGTCCCTTAATGACACATTTATGGTGGAATGATACTTTTACTTTTAGTTAAATAGACCAATATTAGATTATTTTCCTCTACTCATAGTTACATTTTTGTGGCTAAGAGACCAAGTCATCTGTCCAGTCACCAATTAGAACTCCGTAGCCTTTACTTAACTTTACAACTGGCTGCTGCTGTAATAATGAGCAACTGACCTAGTTGTACAAGGTGTGGAGTTTCAGCTACTAATTCTACACCCTTATGCAAATGCAACATCTCTCCCCTAGGTACATTAAGTTCCTCTATTTTGGGACAGTAAGTGCTATGTAAAGGGAAATGACAAGACACATTACTCAGTGCTGCCAAACTCTCTGTAGAAGAGTGCAAAGAACTAAAGTAAAGGTAACATCCACCAATTTGAATTTGGGTTTTCAGCGTGAGTCAATATCCCCATTTGCTTTGCCCTGAATTATCATCTTCACAGCATGTTCTTTGAGGGTCCATGCTTCAATATACCTGGATACATTTTAGAATGCAGACATCATGAAACATCAGCAAGAATAGCAGACAGCAAAGTGAAACATGTAGAAAAATCACGTTGAGAAGAGGTCCAGTTATTCCATTTGTCCTTTTCTGGTTACACCTAGTATGATGGAAAGGAACTGTGTTAGGACAGTTATGAGTTGTGGCTTTATTGTTTAAACAGAGCCACTGAGAACAAAACTAAAGCAATAAATACCAACACTTGTCTTCTATCAGAAGCTAGACGGTATTTCAGGGGAAGACTGAAAGGTATGGCAGAAGATTTGCTGGATCAGTAGATCATGCTCTTCAGTCATTGGTATGAAGTTTCAAATTACATTAGTTTCTAGCAACAAAAGTGCTTGTAACAGCTTTTGATTAAAAATCAGAGTAAAAGTCTAGCAGCCTTATTCTAGTTTTATTCCAATTTTCCCCAGAGTCCAAAACTGCCTTTGTTGAGGTGATTAAACTTCAGAAAGCTGTATGCTATATAAAGGGCACTCTATGCTAACATTCCCCCACAGATATGTGAAAGTATTAAAGTTAGCTCCTTTGAGCTCTGCAGCACATATATAGTCATTAATTTTCCTCAAGGAAAGGAAATCTAGATCCATTATGGTCTTGGGATTTAAATATGTGGAAGAATAAAGTCTTTATTTCTAAGAAAGTGAAGCTGGCTAGGCTTAGACAGAGCACAGCTGTGTACAAGTCTGATAGAGTTACTCAAGCAGAAGTTCTTCCAAGCACTGTTCATCATATTTCAGGGAGAATTAGTGTAAGCTGCTGCAGTTTTTAGATATTTCTTTACCAAACATTTTCTCAATAAATTTCAGGATGAAGTCATTGATGTATTGGTGGAAGACTTACCTGATCTATGCAAATGGGTTGCCAAATTGATCATCAAAAGGACCAGAAGGTGGATTCTGAGATTCCTTCTAAGGAAAGAGAGATAAGCTGTTAGTGTATTTCCAGTTTTCACCAGATTTACACTGCATGGCTCTATGAGCTATTTCCTGCTCAAATACCTGGAAAGAATACTTCATAGCTCCTGCTAAACACACATTTACTGTACTGCTTCAACAAAAGAAGGGGGCTGTAAACTATGTTAGATTTTACACTAGTCCAAGGCAAGGTATTTTTCAGAAAACTCTTTGCTACTGTACACTCCTTCGGAGCCAGTGGAGTCATGATGAAATATCTTCTAGTGAAATGCTAGAAGTCTTAAGTCAGCACTCTGGTATTAGTCCAGAATTTTCACTGCGGGGTTCAAGTGCTCTGCCGCAAATGGAGTGATCTGGTGAAGCTACTTTCTCCCCGACAGAGTCCTGAACATGAAACCTCGTATTTGTTCAGCTAGAGAGCTTCACAATCCACACTGCTCAGGCTGCTCTAAAGAGGGCTATATATAACCAAAGTGGAGCATTTCTGCAGCTACATTATGATAGTATTTTGTAGAGTGTCCCAATACTACAGAACTTTGCACCATGGGAAACTAGTTGTGGTGCCAAGCCAAATGGAATAATGCTTTGTTAACCTTCTTGCAACAGATACCCTCTGCTAGACTACATATTAGCCTCAAAAATGCAAAAGATTTTTGTTGTATGGCCTCTAAAGCCAGAACTAAACTAGTGTTCAAATATAGACACCACAGTTATTAAGGAGAAAAAAAGGGTTTTTGATGGCATCTTTTGTGGTGATGTCATTTGTACATTTTGGTGTTAGGGTGTTTGTAGTTTCTTTTGTTGTTTTATTTGTTTGTTTTGTTGGGGTTTTTTTACTACTTAC